CGTCGCATATGGTTGAAAAAGACCGTTCACAAGACGCTGGGAAATGTTTCAACTTAAATGGATTTTTGATATGAACTTATTTGTTTTTTAGTTTCTGAACCCAGCTCGTCTTCTTCCAGGCAGTTTTTAGCTATGCCATCATTCCCGCTTTAAGCGATGGAAAATACGCAGATTAGCACCCTCGTGTACCTACCTATTTTTTTTGTTTAAATGAAGCGATCCGTATTCTGTATTATTATATTTTATTAAATTATCTATATAAGTTAAAATCGTGTAACCGAAAATTAAGATTGGTTATTCCCACGTGTAAGTGTATAACGGGCTAGATTATACGTATTAGTATCGTTCGTGACTGTGATAATTATTGCAGTTTTTTTTTTTTTGATAAAATGTTTGTGTTCCCACTATCACATAATAATAATAAATTTAATTTCCAAGATAATATTATCATGTTAAATTTTATAAAATGTAAAATCTGACCCGCTAGAATATGAAATAGTTTTTATTACTTAGGTAGGTACATAAATAAAAATAAATAAAAATAACAAGAAATGTATTTTTGTAAAGTTTGTGACTTAGTGAATGTAATCCGTAAGGGCTTTGCAAAACAATTCCACTTCGCTTTTTGAAGGTATGAATGTAATTATAAAATCAGAAATATTCATTGCGTATTTGCATAATTGCCTCAAAACCACAAACGAGCGTATAATTACCGCATGATTTTCTTTTAAAAAAAAGGACTTTGTTTATAGTCAATACACATCAATCAATTCGTAACAATTTTAAGATATGCGTTCATGGTTCATATTATAATTTACTAAAATTTAAAAAAGTCCAGGACGACGGACACGCCTGAAGATTATATTAATTGTCTCTTGTCTGAGGGTTACTATACCTCGTATGTAAAGCAAACCGGGACTATTAAAGAACAGAATATAGACACATTTTTCGTGTTTTTTTTTTTACTCTCATAATTATATAGTTTTATAAATTGTCAAATTTACTTAGGTTCAAGTATAATATCACTTTATAAATAGGTACACAAGCTAAATACTCAACCATCGTCTTCATGATTAATCTAAAGTATTATAGTATAAATCAAAAAAATCAAATGAAAATGAATGAAAAAATCATTTAATTTATCGAAAAAATAAAAAATATCTTGTCGGCAGGCCAGATAGAGTTTGTTCACCATATATGTAGTCCACGGGTAACCAAGTGGTGGTTACTCCTTCAGTCCTGTTGTACAGAAAACTGTTAGGAATATTATTCTACTAAAAAAATTACCGAATTTACATAATTACATGCATTAAAAAAAAAGGTAACGATTGTAATACCTAACATTATTTTTAAATAATAACTATTTAAATATTATTATAATATAACGAATATTATTTATGTTTTTAAGGAATGTTCCTTTAGGATACCTTCTTAAAACACAAAAATAAACACAAAATCACACATGTAAACTGCTCCCGAGTTTTTACCAAGTGTAAAAAGGTGACATGTAAACTGCGCCCGGGTAAAATTTAAAAATGAAGAGCTATGTTTTTGCAAAAGTAAACAAAATTACAATTTCTTATTTATACTTGGTTCAGTTGGTTCATTACAGCCATATTATAATATGAAAAGCAAAAATTAAATAAAAATAAAAAAATAGTATAATTTTAAAAAGTACAATATTAAGACAAATAATAACATATCTTATTTATACTTGGTAGTTGGTTTATTACAGCCATATTATAAAAGCGTTTTTAAAAATGCTGTGCAAGTTTTGACTGTACATCGCCACTTAATCTCACCTGAACTTAGAGGCCCATTTATTTTACGAAATTTAAATTTTGAAATTATTTTCAAGCTCTTTTCGCGCAGTGATACGAGTTGTTCGGCCATCATGACATAATCATCAGTTATCGTATACCGCAATAGTTATTCGATAACGTATTGGTTTTTTTATACATTTTGATAGAAAAAGTACACAATCATAGATTTACTTTAATAAGTTAAAAGTCTTGTATAATTTACAAACGGGGAGCAGCTTACATTATACCTTTTTAACAAGGATAACAATTTGGGCGTAGCTTACAAAAAAAAAAAGGTCATTTGGGCGCAGTTTACGTATGCCCAGTAAAATAATACAATATATACGCGACTCAGTCCATACTCCATAGTATTTATTTGATACATTTCATTTTCATATTTTAGATTAATCACATTCAGCGTTTGATTAAATAAAGAAATGATGAATTGTTTTTCAAAAGTTTATATTATTGCTTCGTATATGTACCTATAGATATATAAATTATCTGATTATTTAAATAAAATAGCATTAAATAATTATGCTATTAAAAAAAACATTGTCCCGTTTGACAGTATGAACCATTTTATTATTTTTTTTTCGAAAGACTTAAACATCATTAATAAAGAATATAGCTATTGTACCTATTGTAATTCTCAATGTTCGTATCTTGGAGTCAATCGGACGATTTGGTGGGGCTAACTTCACTATCGTGCTTTCGGGAATTATATTATAAAAAATATTTCATAACAATAATAACAACCTCCATCAGGGGCACTTAAGAAGTGGGCACTTACGTTTAGCGTGGACAGTCTCAAGTCTCAACCCAAGCAATGGCGTAGAGAAATTGGCACTCCCACCGTGAAGTACGATTTGTGTTGCAATAGCATTTTGATATGTGGTTAACGGGGACTAACGATACGTTCCAATAAAAAAACTATTCTTAAGAAATCAAATATTCCTCGGATGACTGTATTTACCTGAAAATTATTTTGAAAACGGAAAACAGAAATGTAGAGATAAGACCTTGGGCCACGCTTATGTAGCACGGAAAAAAATTGCTATAATATTTTAGTTGAACAAATTATAGTAAATATAATTATTTAATAGGTAAAATAACTAAAAGATTTAAATACTTACTATGACTATATAAATATAGTTATTTTTTATGGTAATGTTTACTATATTTTATAGTTAACGCAGTTTTTAGTGTTTGAATTAATTAAAAAATATAGTTAAAATAGCATATTTCAGTTCGAAAAACTATAATAACTTGACTATGATATTTTAGTAGATCTAACTAACCTTATAGCTATCCCTATATCAATTATTATAATGTACAGTCTATCCTACTATTTTTATAGTACAAACAACTGTTTTGTTTTTTCAGTGCGTATCCCAATATAGCTTGTTAGAATATAACTTAATATTTTAGTGAAAGAGTACAATGAGTAAAAATCGCTGCACTACATAGGTATCTTAATTATCGGAATAAATAAACAAAAAATTAAGGAAAACTGGAATTTTTATCAAAACAAAATTAAGTCAATATCGATTTTGGTTTTTTTTGTGGAATTTTATAAAAAATTACAGTAGATAGATTGCATTTTCACCAAATGCTTATATTGGCATTTTCTAAACAGCAAAATTATTTTGACTGTTTTTGAGCTATTTATAGGCATAATAAACGTCTTTTTTTAGTTTTTTTTTTATTAATGTCGATAAAAAATGTTTTGCTCGGTAAAAAACTTATACATTTAATACAAGGTTCTTCATAGCATTTTGTTGGTAGATATAAAAAAAAAAGTTGAGAGTAAATCCACAATAACTTTTAATAAGCTTCTGAAGTCAGAATTTTGACAAAATTCATCAAATTCACGCAATAATGTGCAATTTATTTTGAGTTAGAAATTCATGAGAAAACTTCCCATGTATATTATCTAAGATTAGACATTTTAATGCAAGATTCCCCATGTGATTTCCTGCATTAAAAAAAAAAGGTTGCCGGAAAGTTAAATTTATTTTTATGTATATTTTAAGTATATTTAAAGTTCAACATTGGATATCCACCCTTAAATTAACAAATTCTCATAGAAGGTTTCCTTATTTTGTTGTGATTAAAAAACTATTAAGATACTTAAAATTTTCACCAAATTCATTATTATCTCGAAAATTTGCAAATTATTTTGTAATAAAAAATTTATAAAATTTATCAATTTTTGTATCTAAAAATTGAAAAATTTAAACAAGGTTTATCATAAGTAGTTCCATATTATAATTAAAAAATCTGAAAAAATATTTTAACTCAGTTTTTTTATAGTTAATTAATAATTTAAGTTCAAATTAGATATTTAAGCAAAGAAGAACAATATTAGTAATGTGTTGTAAAATGTAATTTAAAAATATTATAATATGTGAGTACTTGAAACTTCTAAAGTATATTATTATATACCTACTGATATGATAATATACAAATAATATTAATTCAAAACTTACCAGCTACCATATTAATAATAACAATCAATTGAATTCAAATTTAACACCATCCATTACAGTGACACAGTTGTGAGCTACTTTACAGCAGAGCGACAAAGACACGCTTTACCGCTTTAAATATTTTATACAACATACTATTTCATAAATTAATTATAAATAAATTTTGCTTTAATAATTTGAATAAACTACCTAATTTTAAGTACTTTTTGTACATCACTTACAACACCTACGCATTAAATACATATGTAAAATGCGAAAAAAAATATGGTCTATTACGTACAACACCAGTCAACTACATGCAGATAGCTTACAAGTTACAACACCGTTACCAGAACAATTAGATGAAAAAATTTGGAAAAAATTGGGAGAAATCACGCTCAATGTCAACAATTTAAGCATTTTAACAGCACTAAAAGGTGATGACAGAATGAAAAAAATGTTTTAAAAACACACATAATTGTAAAATAAATACATTCATTGTTCAGAATGAAAAACAATTTATAATATAACAGTCAAAATAATATAATAAACATTGAATAAATTAGTAATAAATAAATTTTAAATAGGTACAACATATTTGGTGTGTGATCCTATCACCAAGCATTAAATAAAATTATACATATTAATATATTATAATATAAAATACAATCAATAAAAAACCTTTAATGCAATACATCATAAAGCAACAATAACATACATAAATATTTCACTTATCTTTTGTATTTCTGCCTAAATAGCTTTCAGATATTTCTCTTGCAGCCACATTGGTTCTCAATGCAGCTGGTACACCATTATGACTTAAATATAACGAACCAGCCAATAAACTACGCCCGGTAGAGGCTAACTGCTCACAGACTAATCGGCAATTTTTTCCACTATTCCCAGCTAATGCTCGACGTGTAAGTTTGTTCATCATCTCTTCACATTCAACCAATTGTTCTACCAGACCATATTCAAGAATAGTGTCCAATACCAAATCAGGCAATTCCTTAACATAATATTTATGACAGAAAATTATATTATACTCGTATGTAAAATGTGAATACTTACATGGTTAGTTTTAAAAAAACTTATAGCAGATGCTTCTACAGCACTTTCACCAGATAATAAATAAAACAAATAAAGTAAAATAATGTTTACATTTGGGATACTACTAAAGTCTTCTAATTCCTGTAAAAATAACATAAAAATTAATATAATTAAGTTTAAATTATTCTCGATCTATAAAGTGTAATTTTATTAAAGATATAACATACTTGTTTTGTAAAATTGTGTTTACTACAGGTGTATTTTAGTACAGATATTGAAATTCGAAACTCGTGTGGTTGAAACACTAATAACCGCTTCAAAGCTTCAACCCATACTTTATTAAATCTGAAAATCAAAATAATTTATCGGTAAGGTTTGTTGTTGTTACTAGTGATAGAACTCTATATTTATCATTTTTAATTTCTAATAATATTTACAATATTTGCAGAAAATAATGTTAAATGTAAGATTATGATCAGATACTTTTTGATTTTTAAATATTCGTACTATTGTCTATTAGACATTTATTTAATAATAATGTATTTATATTCTACAAAAAAATAAAAAATGTAAACATTTATTTTGAATAGATTTATCTATAATTTATAATAAAAATATAAAATAAAACTTTTTAATGAATTATATCAAATTATATCATAATATATATATATACATATATTGGTCCTAAATTTACACATTTTCACCTAAATAAAATGAAAATATGTCCTACCAAAAAATATGTTCTATCTGCATGACTTACTCGTTTGCCTGAGATAATAGTTTAACAATTTTATCAACATCCGCCGGTGATTTAGTCTGTTGTATTAACTGATTGAAATCCACATTATCTTGACAGACATCAGACACTGAAGATGTCTAAAATATTATTTTGATAAGAAACAATTACTCATTTATAATTGGTAAAATTAAATTAAAAGTATAATAAGTAGATCTACTAACAGAACGAGATAGTTTTATAAGATGTTGTATTTTCTCCGGTAGACTTTTCAACAATCTATTTAGTACAGGAGCACTACATCCAGTTTGCTGGGCCATAGAAAATGTTTCGTAGGTAGTTTCAGGGTTTAATAATAACTTATAATCGATGTCTATAACAAAACAACAATTTATAATACTTGTGTATTCTTAAGAGGACGTTACACGGATATTTGTTGTCCCTGTCTAACAATTGCATAACATAGCAAATTTATGTTCAGCAGATCACATTTAGCTCCTTTAGTTTAAAAATTTGAGTGAATCAAGCTATTATGAAACTTGTTGGTGAGACAATTATCTGTGTTTTTTGTGAGTTTTTTAAGATTCTTAAATTGTTTAGCAAGGTATGCATATATAATATAGGCATAAAGCATAAATCAAAAATGCTCATAACTAACTTAAAAACTGAACTATCATAAAAACTTACATACAAACATAGATAAACAATATAAATTTTCATAAAAGGTTGATTCACTCTAATTTTTAAACAAACAGAACTAAATGTGATCTGCTGAGCGTATGTTACACACTTGTAAGGCAGAGACAACAAATATCTGCATAGCGTCCCTCTTAATAGTTAATAATTATTACCTGGAATAGTACTATGAACTCTCTTCAGCAGTTTGATATGCTGAATAGGTGTTATGTTATCCTCAGTCTGACCATGATCATTAGGATTGATAAAATTTAGCACAGTATAGTAGGCAATTAAAACATTATGATTAGTTCCAGGCACATCTTCATAAACCTCAAGCATAAAACTTTTATAAAATTGTTTGTTGTTCTGAATCAAACTATTGAATTCCATTGTTGTTAACATTTCCTCTATATTTCTTGCAGGTATTGTGTGTAAACAATGTTTTAAGAACTCTAACAATAGCTTATCATTTATATCTAATGATTGCCTATGGCATATTTCCAATGCTTTTTCTAAATGTTTTACTTGACCAGTTCTATAATAAAAGTTTATTTTTTTCAATAAAATAAAAAATAAAAATTATTTTTAATTATTTTAAATAATAAAAAGTTATTTTATTTTTATTTTTAATTAAAAAAAAAAAAAATGTTACCCAGCCATCCTTATAAGTTCTTTATTCATTTCTTCTGGGCTTACATTCAAATCCAACCCTTTTGCACATTTACTATATAACAACGCATATTTACGTAAATAATTTCCTATTTCAAGATCAGATACTGAAGATTGAGCATCAAGGTCAGACATAACTTCTTTGATCAACTAAAAAATAACAATTAATTATTTATAACAGTATGTTTATAGTTTTATACTAAACATTTACTTTGTTGTACCTAATTAATTATTTTTAATTTAATATTTTTGTTAATCAAATAAAACAATTTTCATCACTCTACCTACTATTTTTACATGATTACATTATAATATAATACTACCTGATTTAATGCAATATATAATTTTTACTGTACTTATACAATAATATTTTATTTAAAAAAAAATTACATACTTGATCTGTAGGTAATTTAAAAATGTCAACATTGAGCATGAATTTATGCGCATAACGTAATGCATAAATATATAGTGCTAGTTTAGTACTAAGAACACCTTCGCAACAATTGAAACAGTCGTCTACAATACTATCGTTTGATATATGCAAAAAACATAATACTGACATTTTTGAATCATATCCAAGATATTTGAAGCCATAAATAGCCAAAACTACAAAATACAATTTAAATATAAAATATATTTTTAAATAGCTGATATAAAAATGTACCTTGGTCATAATTTGAATGGTTATAAGAGACTGTAAGCAATTCTCTTAAATTGGTTAATAACTCATCATGTGATAGGCTAACTTCAACACAATTAGAACAATTTGAATGTAATGAACTTTCGTTATTTGATATAGCAAGGTAGTTGATATTTTTAATTCTAATTTTCAAACACAATAGTTATTAGTAATTTTATAAAATAATAATAGTCATTAAAATACTAACATTGGAACCACTATTTGAGAATCACATCCAATTATTTGTTCGGTATTTTCATTTTCCAATAATTTCCTTCAAATTAAAACCAAACAAAACATTTTAAGCAATTAAAATTTAAAAACTATTAAAATATTAGAGTTCTTTAAGAGGACTCCACATGCCTATACCAGTATAATATGCTGTCTCTGACTTACAAGCTTGTAACATTGCAAATTTACATATTGATTCTTCTTAGTTTACTTACAGTTAATATTAGAGGAAATGTATATATTATAGAATTTGTAGAGGTTTATTTTTACTCTAACCAAGCATATTTTGAATTTAAAACGAGTTATATGAATTTTTCAAAATTAATTATCTAAGTAGTATAACTCATTTCGAGAGAAAATTACGAAATAAAAACTCTGTTCGCACAGTTTATATTCTCTTCCACAAAATCGTTAATATGTAAATTTTCTCTAATATTAATTATAATTATCACTATAGATATAATTCAGTATGTAGAATTGCTGTTATATGTGTATTTATGTTATATTTATTTATTTTATTTATAAATATAAACGGACGTAATATCCTTAATAATATTTTGTGCGTTTACACGGTAATAATAATACAATGATGTTATAGTAATGACAAATAACAATCTAAGATACATTATTAAGTTATAAGCTTAGATCATATACTAGTTATATACTAGTATATGATCTAAGGTTATAAGTTACAAATATAGATAAGAGAACGAAAAAGGTAAATAACAACAAAGAAAGATAAAGGGCGAGATATGCTAAACAAAATCAAAGGTAATGGAATTACCCGCAGTCATTAAGATATTAGAAGTACAGTTTATCATATAATTTATTTTATATGGGATAGAATAAATCACTGCATCTTGTGTTACGGTGATTTCCTTTAAAACGGATGAGGGAAAGGAGCTCATCACGATCGAAATAAGGATCATATGTATACATATGCAACAAAAATAAAATTTAAAATACCATAATAATATGTATTAAATCACCTCAATTCAATAATTGAAACAATTTTTTCCACTGGACAATTCAGCACAGCAAATGACAAAACTTTTATTTTTAAACCAATATCAATAATATCATTATGTACTCCTAATTCAATGCATAATGGCCATACTGATGGTTCATTTTTATCCATCAATTGAACACATATTTTAGAAGCAAATTTCAAATCATTAGCCTAGAAAAAAGAACATAAAATTTAATTATTTATAATATACATTGTGCATAGCAGAACATAAAAAAAATATATATTTCAATATATTACTTGATATGCAGCCATAGCACATTTGAATAAAATATTGGATTCGGTAGAAATAAAGCTATCATGACATTTAATACCCAATTTGTTAGCTAATGTTATTAACTTCTTCAATAATGTATAATTGTTTGGTTTAGAAGATATAGTAATGTCTATCAACTTCCATTTATTTTTACATTGACGCACTATTAAATATATATATATATTAATACAATATTATAAATAATATTCATAATTTTACATTTAGTTAGTACAATATTTACCTTGGACTGGAAGTAATTTGGTACCAAGAGTGTTAAATATTGTCATAGCAGAAATTAAATTCCATTCATGTAATAGTAAATCTTCAGCATTAGGTATAATTTGTAAACATAATCTAAAAATAATAGTTATTTTTTTTCATTATTATAAACTATTCCAGCTATAAGATCATAATAACTTTAAAATAGTTATTTAAAAGGTTTTATGTTGTGCTGTGAATTTGAGATAAACTTTTATCGTAAAATGTTGATAATTAAAATAATAAAACATAACACCGTCAATTGGACATTTCCTATAGAAATCCACAGAAAATTTGAAGTCATAATAACTAGACTTAGAATTGGATACATAAAAATCTCCCACAGCTACCTAATGGCCAAGGAAGAACCCCCAATGTGCGCATCCTGTGGTATCCAAGTCACCATCAGCCACATTCTCACTGAATGCCGAACATACCACAATACCCAAACAAGCCACAACCTGCCCGAATTACTATCCGAAATACTAAGCAATCGCCCTCAATCCATAGACAACATCATCCAATTCATCACAGCCGCCAATCTTCAAACCAAAATTTAGTGTAACTTAGATTTAGTATACAATGTATGTTATTTATAATTTCCTCCCTCTAACCCCAATGGCCAATGTTGCCGAGGGTATAAATATAAATAAATTAAATAATAATTTTTAAATTAAATTCCATACAAAATATCAATGGATCATTAATTTTAGACTATTTACTTTGCTAAGGCCATTGATGCATCATTGAAAGACTTTGCTCGATCGAAATACATATCAAATGTGTCTTTAACAATCCTTAAACTTAAGTGCTCTGGTAATTTACCCAATAAAACATCTTTACTTAATGGTATTATTTTTTGATTTTGACTACCCAACAGCATTTTGACATATTCCTAAAAATTTTAATTACAAGTTACATATCAACAAAATTTCAAACATTTTTATCTATTGTTTTTTTTTTACCTCGTAACATATTTCAGTTGAAAGTGCCGGGAAACATAACTCTGCAATTTTTAACAAATCACCAAGTACATTTGACCAATACTTTTCAGTTTGATTATTTCTAATACAAATAATAACAATAGCTAGTTTAAAAAATATATAATAACTAATAATTTCCATTTTTTTAAATTGTTATATTACTTACATTGATGTATATTCACATATGGATATCATAACTTTTCGGAAAAAAACAATGTTGGTCAAATTATCGATCAACACTTTAAGTGGATATCGAATACCATATGTTAGTAATAATTTTGAAGCATTTATAATTTGCTTAGTATCTTCAAGTTGTTTTATATTAGATCTATTTTCAACAGTATTTCTAGGATAAAAATAATATGTTTTTTATGGATAATAATTAAATAATCATTTCGTTTTTACATTACTTTACACTTTTTAACAATGACAAAACAATACTTTGTGCCTCATCTAATTGATCAGTTCTTGTATACGTATAAATGCATTTAAGACCTAAAACTATTTTTGCTTCATCTGATACATTTATACACCAACCATTAATTTGGACATACTCAAAATACTAAAATTGCCATAGAATTAAAAAACTTTTAATTTTTTTTAACAATTATTCATTTAAATTATTACCTGTGACAATTTTTTTAATGAACTTTGACTTGTCTGTATTAGATATTGCTCCAGCAAATAAAATGTATCAGCTTTAGTTTGAATAAATGGTAAGAAATAGTTTGTTAGATTATTCAAGAACAAATTGTCATCACACTACAAAGTTTAAAAATATATAAATTCATTTAAAATTTTTAAAAAAATAGTTAAATTAATTTTACAAACCCTAGACATAAACAATGATGCTTTTTCTAAAGTGTTCAATTGTTCAATATCTTCCAAAAACATATTTTCTAAGCCCACTTCATATACCAATACTTCTAGAACGGATAAATCTTCATGCAATTGTTCTAACCCCTACACAATTGGAAATTTGTTTGTATACTTATAAATATAAAATGCCATTAAAAATAATATTAAATAATTATATTTTTACCTTGATGTTATTTTCGCGAGCAATGGTAGCCATTTCTAACGTATGTTGGACTAATTTAGTACATAACTCAATGTTTCTAATTCTTTTTGTATACCAATGAATGAGGCCGTGTTCAGTTAAAGAAACAGTTTTTATGTTCTCAAAAGTGCCAGTTAATAATTTAAATCTATCAGACTCACACCAATCAAGTTCTCTTAAGATTTTCGATTCTAATAATATAACTTTCTTTTCAGATGGATCCCAAACTGGCAATAAATGTCTAAATTATAAAAGAAAAACGCATTTAATACATACAATTTATACTATACTTTGCAGTTTTCAAGTCATACAAGTTAAGTATTTTAAATTATATGTTAACAATCATAAGCTTACACAAAATTATTTATTGTTTTGAGTATTTAATTTATTTATTGTTATTTAACCAACATAATACTATACAAAGCAATAATCTCTAGTTCAGTAGAGCAAAAAAAAATTGTTAAATAATATTTTTATGATGTAAATTTCCAATAAATGTAGGACTGCAAAATTTGTTACACTATCAGACAGCACTATATTAAATTTTTATTATTCTTTATTTAAAAAATAATAATATATAGGTTCAGAAACTATCAAATTTATTTTTGTTTAAATGGATCTGAGACAAAAACATAGCTAATGTAATCAAATTGACAGCTCCAATAAGGGGAAACTTTTTAATGCATGAATTATTTACAATTCTTGTTCCAGATTTACAGTTCAGAGGACTAAATACATTTTTTTTGAGCACTTATTTTTAAAGTTATATTATACCTGTACAACTTCAGCATTAGTGTCTCTGGAAAATCATTCAATATGTCCAACCAGTATGGAATAACATGATCACTGTAGTAGGTAAAAACAATAGAAACTGCATCAACTTGGCACTGTCTAGCCAACTGCAAAGCCCATTGTAAAGGACTCAAATCTCTAAGATGTGTATATGTGCGTGCGCTGTAAAGTGCTTCACTGTTTCCATCCATTTTTTTCAATACCATTTCATAAGTAGTTAGTTTATCCAAGTAATTTAAGAGTTTTAATCTTGATATAATAAATTCTTTACCTTCTTGGCTGAATGTCCCTGATTTATCAAAGTTTCAGAAATTAAAATAAAATCTAAATTTTGAACATTTTAAACATACTCGTGTTTTCAGATTCTATACTTAGGTATGCAGAGAAATCAGTTATTTCTAAACCGTATGCAATCAATTGCTTTGCTCCAATTAATGTTTCTGAAACTCTGTTGCAACACTCGTGCACGATCCATTGCTTATCAGATACTTTGCTCTTAAATGCACATACCAAAATAAAAATATGATTTATTTTATTTTATTTTTTATTTTTTACTTACCAAAATATTATTAATAGATTCTTCTAGAACTGAACTATTACACCATTGATGCTTATAAACTAAATCTTTATCCAAATTATATTTCAATGCTAATTGCAATGCATCTTCATATTGCTTTTCCTGTATCTATAAAATATCAGGATAAATAAAATAGCATAACATCATACAACAATTATTACTCAGTATCTCAATCATAATATGGTATAATTGACAATGCAAGCTTAAAATATGTTATGGTAAAAAAGCATTAAAAATCAATCTGATAATAATAAAAGTAGTTTAATAAGGCTAGTTTTTGTAAGTACTATTTTGATAAAACTAAATATATTAATTATTAATATATTTTTCTTCAATAAATACTTTTAAATTTGAATATTACTTTTTTCATGAGTAACTGCTGAGGAGTAGTTTTGGTTACAGCAATAAGTTTATACACATTTGTTGTTGTTGGTTTGGAATTTACACTAGAATCCTTAAAAACATGAAATCAAAACAAATATTTTTTAAAAACAATGTTTATTAACAGTTTAGTAATGAGCAGTTAGCAACCTTTAGATTTCAATAACATTTTTTTAATCTGTAGAGTTTTTAAAAACTTTAAAAATATTTCCCAACCTTTTTATAGTATTAATATAATCTAACCTATCATTGGTTAGAATACTGTAGATGTTTTATTTAAAATTATAATTTAAAAATACCTGAGAATTATTGACAGACTCAATTGTTTCATAATCGGCAACAACAAAATTATTGCTATTATAAGAACCACATAATTTGAAACAACACGGATTCATTTTAGTGATAACTACACTCTGTTGCCCCTTTTCACTGCAAATGATGAGAGTGCCATCAAAACAACCCAAAATTAGAAGCTGAATCAAAAAACATGATATTAATCAACAATAACTAAATATTAATATTTGTATAATGCCAAACATATAAAGTACCTCATTACACCACCATTCAATATCAATAATGCCACCCAATTCTTTTTGATCATTTACAAACCAATTCTTGCAAGCACTACAAATAAATAATTCAAATTATAATATCTATAAAAATAATAATAATAATAATAGTTGTAAAATGGTTATAGGTTATAACTAATAAGTAATAACATAATGATATAAGTACAATCGCACAAGTGTACACATGAAACGAACATAGGTAGGTATTAATACCTTGTGGCACTTACTATACTCTAAAAAGATTGATAGAAAAAAAATTATTTAATGTTATTCTTGTTTTAACTGAAATTATATTATATTATTCAATTTCAACCCAACCAAACCATACTTTCAAAACTCTAAACTATACTTTTATAGGTAAAGTGTCACAAATAACGGCATCACCTCATTAGTTATTAACTTATTACTAGAGAGCATTTTTATAGGTTTTAACAAATATTTATTGACATTATGCAGCTCAACGGGCGTAAAAAATATGGACAAATTATACATCACAGAATTGGTAAAAAAAAATTTATTTTGAATATTATAACATATTTTAATTAAAAATTAAAAATTATAGGAATCATTCAATAATGAAATAAAATTGTTTGGTTGTTTTGAATGTGACTGAATTTAAATAGTTTTTAACGATATCGGGATATAACTATTTTCAACATAACTGTATGTCGATTGATGATTAAAGGACAATTTGTTATCTTAATGACATAATGGGATATAAAAAATATTTTTATACTATTACGTTAACTTAATTTTTATTTTATAATATATCAATTTATATTATAAGACAATTATAAAAACAGTAGAAATTGCACCAGTATGAAGTACAAATTGAACTAAAATAAAGAAAAATGTATTTAAATTAACATTTAAGAGAGACACATTTTATGCTCACTTAGTAAACATCTAAAAAAAGATATAAATGCAAAAACTTCATTGCCTTAATTATTAAGATTAAGCCATAGGTGTTGTCTTACAAAAGCATAACATAGCAAATAGTACATTCTGAATAATTAATTTAACTCTGTTACGTTTAATTTTAAAGTCAATTGACCTATTAGCAAATTAAAAAGTAAAAATATTATCTAGTCAATAGCAAGTTTATTATATTTTAATTTTAAAGTGAATTATGAGTATTTTAAAAAAGAAAATTTGTAAATTTTAAAATACTCATAACTCACTTTAAAATTAAAATATAAAAATAAAACCTACTCCATTGACTAGATAATAAATAATACCCTTTTAAGAGAATATTTTATGGTTTGTAGACTATATTAGAATTATTTATTTAACTTTTAAGAATCTAGAAATCCGCTCTTTAGTTATTACTTATTACTTACCTTATTTCTGGAAAATTCCAAATGCAGACTGTTCGGGTTCCATATAAACACGCTAACAGTGTAGATGAAGGTGATAAACTCATTTTAATAATACATTTCTGCAATTCAAAAGTTTATAAAATGATAAATTTAAATTTAGTCTATCAAAAAAGTTTAATAAACTTACATTTTTTTTACGCAGTACCATATTAATAAACCTGGATAAAAACCCATCCTGTATAATATTTGAAGATAGAACTGGATTGTAATATGGCTCATATGAAATCATTGACCATAAATTTAAGCCAGAATCATTTAAGTCCTAAACAAAAATAATTATATAAAAAATTCTAATATTAGAAAGTCAATTAAAATACTAGAGTTCTGCATAATGTAATATTTTTTTTAAAAGAACTAAATACTAATAATTTATTTTTATAGCTTTTGATGTGTCAATGACAGCCTCTTTGATCTATATGTCCCATCCGTCTGGTCTTATTTTTATGCTTATTGTATTTTTTGCATAATTGAAATATTCTATCTTAAGAAACACCACACCCGCATGAGTTGTCTTCATCTTACAAGTGCGTTGCGTAGCAAATGTACGCTCAGCAGATCCCGTGTAGCTCATTTAGTTTCAAAACTATACTGAAACTTGATGGCAAGAACACTATCTGTGTTCATATGTTTGTTTTTTACGATTAATCAGTTTTTAAGTGAGTTATGAGCATTTTTAATTTACGCTATATAATATACACATAACTTTTTAAAAAATTTAATTATACTCAAACGGGTGTGGCGTCCCCTTAATAATAAAAAAAAAGATTTGGTTATTTTCCCTCAATAATTATTAACTGTTAATATTAATATTAAAGCTTTGGTAATTTTTCCTCTAGGCTAAAATTATATTTATACTGTAATAACTATAATGTATGATCATGAACTTAAGACTTACCAATTTATTTTGTACATCCGAAGATGTAATTATGTAAGCTGGATCTGAACATGATGAAACAGATGATAATAATGAAGCACCTAGTACTTGAATAAAATTAAATGTGTGTTGAATTTGGTAACCATACACAGTAGATACAGCATAGCTAGTTAACGATCCATTTCCACCAATTAAAATCAGCTCATATGACCTAACAATAATTTAAATAACTTACAATAACTTACAATACTCAAAATACTTCAATATTTAAAATAGTATGAAAGAAAAACATTATTATAAAATCAAAATTTAAAGATTTATAAACGTACCATTTTGAAGACCGAGTTCGCAAATCTAAAAATACCATTTCCTTGGCGAATATATTATTGGTAGGTTGTTTGGTACTATTTTGGATCTTTTGAAAACATATAAAAACAGTTTAGTTATTAAAAATGTAAATCATATTAATGATTAAAACTTAATATATATATTCATAAAAATGTTATTAAAACTTAATTTTAACTTACAGATTTAATAACAAACAAATTTGAGGCTAAGAGATCATAGCAAGCAATGTGACCATGTGAAGTGGCGATTGCGAAAATTGAACAATCTGGACTCCATGACAATACTCTTTTTGATGGGTATAAATCATTTGATATTAAATCAGGTACTAAACAAATAATTTTAATAGAACTTTTATAAAACTTATTTGTCATATAATTGCATGTACTGTGTTTACTCTTTATTCAACTAAAAGAGTTAATTTATTAAATAATATAAAATTATTTATTCAAACAATATTAGTAACCACAAGGAAGTAAAAACAAAGTATCATAGAATACCAGTATTACTTAAATTAAAAAAATATACAGTATGTTCACGCTAAGAGGTACCACTAAATATTTCAATTCGAGGACCATTGAAATGGGTTTTTGCTGAATGACAGATAGTACTTAAATACACATTTTCAGATAAGTTTCTAATATTTAACTCTTTTGATTAGCGCATGCGCAATACAACTTACTTTTTTTTAAATGGCAACATCACCTTTTTTTACATATTCTGATGGTATTTTTTTCTAAACAATTTATTTTTTAAAATTTTTTTCTAATTACAAAATTGGCATATGAAATTTAACGATGAAGTTTAATATTTACGAGGAATAAATGTATCCTACCAAAAACATATATGTGAAATGAGAGCCAAGTTCAATACTATAATATATGCCTTGGTTGTTGACTTCAACGACAAAAGAAGTGAGATCTAAATGGGTGCCAAGTTAGGATAATATATTGAAGCCTAAGGTGTGACTTGGCTACTTTTCATATACGAATTATTATTTTAAGTACCTACTAAAACAGTAATGGAAGAGTGAAGATGATTTTCCGAAGAATAAAATAAGAACTCAAAGCTTTAGAACTTGCAAATGCTATAATATATAATTCGTAGCCAAGTCAGACCTTAGGCTTCAATATATTATCCTAACTTGGCACCCATTTAGATCTCACTTCTTTTGTCGTTGAAGTCAACAACCAAGGCATATATTATAGTATTGAACTTGGCTCTCATTTCACATATATGTTTTTGGTAGGATATCATTACTTTTTGTATGTAAATTATTATAACCTAACCTAACCTAGCCATGACGTATTATATAAATAAAGTTTATTACTATATAATATAATTCAGTTACCTACTAATATTAATAATAATATTTATTATAAAATATTTTCTGTTTTACATACGAGTATACGAGTATAAAATATATGTAAAATTAATATACAATTATTTTAACTCTTTTTGAGTATATTTTTAATTATCATAATTTTATTGACTGTAGTTTCTACTGTTGGGTGGATAATTCATAATTTGTAAGAATAATTATTTAATTATTTCAATTGTAATATTTAAAACAAATAATATTAATTACATACATAGATAGAAAAAAAAGTATGTTGCTGCGCACGGGTCGACAATATCGACACATATTCGGCTAGTCGTATTTTTGGAGCGGCGATACGGGAAAGGTTATTTAAGTCAACATTACATTACATTACATTACACTAAATTAGAGGCAATTCATTAATAAATTGAAAAATTAAACATAATAGATAAAATAATTGCAAAATTATAATAAAATCAATTGATTAAAAAATTAAAAATTAAAAAATTAAAAATTAAAAATTAAAAATTTTCAAGTTTCTGATTTTTTCCTTTGTATTTACCTAACTACCTATCTGTATGCCAAATTTGAACTTTCTAGGTCATCTGGAACTGGGTTAGAATTTTGATCTATAGGTAAGTCAGTGATAAAAATGACGATTTTCGGACGTTAATATCTAAATAACGGTTTGAAGTGTGTTTATGAAATTTAGAGCACATATGTATCTCGTTAGTCTCAATGTATGAGCCAAATTTGACATGTTTATGTGGAATAGTTTTTGAGTTATGAGGGGGTCAAAAGTGGCTCCAAATGGTTCGTGTAATATTACACACGGTGCTGCTCGCCAGTTCTGTTAGCTTGAACTTGGCTTGACACGCTACCGCGTGTCTAGATAACGAACAGGAATTATACTATCTTAATTATGGCAAATGTTGTTAAAGTTGTTTTTACTATTTTATCTGTGTACAAACAGGTATTGGACAATATTGGATATTAATAAATAACAATAAGTAAGAATTTAGTTTAGATTTTGTCAAAAAAATTACTCGTAAATATTAAATTTCTTCGTTAAATTTCATATGCCAATTTTGTAATTGGAAAAACTTTTTATGCATAAATAATTTAGAAAAAAATACTCAATCCGAATATGTAAAAAAAGATGATGTTGCCATTTAAGAAAAAGAAGTTGTATCGCTCATGAGCGTATCGAACGAGTTAAAAATTTGAAATTTATCTGAAAATGTGTATTCAAGTACTATCTGTCATTCAGCGAAAACCCCATTTCAATACAAGGTCATCGAAAATAAATATTTAGTGGTACCTCTTACCGTGAACACACTGTATACTAACGAGAATACTTTCTAAATAATTGTGTGTAAGGACTAAATAAAAAAAAATTAAGGATATTGGTAGTTTAATGTAATTTAAATCACCATAAATCACTAATAATAAATATTGATAGTTAATTAATACAAATTATGGTACTTCACTAGTTTTCTATATACTCTGCTGGATATATAATGTATTATGTTCTATGTTTGCTAGTCACTAGTCGCAATAACCAAAAAAAATCCCAAATTATATAGATAAAATTGTTATAAATAAAAATTTAAAATTGATTTTGATTATAGTTGAAACAAAAAATTATGATTCAGGCCAGGTAATTTAAATCTAATGAAAATTAGTGATCAGGTTTAATCAAATAAATTATGTTGAGTATGGTGTAGAAAAAATAATGTTACGTTAAATATTAATACATCTTACATGTTGCTTTTGCTATAGTCTTATTATAATGTTTCTCTGTGCGCATTTCCAGTGTATTATGTTGGACAACAGACAAAACTTGGCCATTGCCTCCAATACAAAACTTCCATGTTGGTTCATTAGAAATTAATACTTCTGAAGAAAAATAGGTAAAATATTTTAGTGCACCGATGTAATCAACAACACTTAGAGGGCTTTTCTTGGAGGATTTTTTCTGTAAATAAAAAAAATGGTAATAAAACAATTAGAATATATATTATTAAATTGATTGTTGTTATTTGGTGGTAGGTAACTCACCAAATCTATAGTTTCATGCCATTGAACATAATCCGATACGATGTACAAAATTTCTTCGCTCATTTCAGGGTAATATCAAATACTTTTTAGTTTATACAACATTAAATAGTTAAGGAATTTAAATAATTTAAGCAAAGATATAAATTTATTAGTTAACAAGTAGGTTATTTTTTATTAGGTAGGTAAATATTAAATATAATAAATTAAATAATTTTTAAAATATAAATGCCAGCGTGTTATCAATTATTATCATTATAAAGGTATATTTAAATTTTAAATCATGGGATTAATCATTCTTTAATCGTGATAAAAAATTTAAGTAAATAGAATGAATCGTAGATAATATTATCTATGAAATGAATAAATGATAAAAACATGGATCTGAAAAGTTTCTTATTTTGAAGAATCATATTTTAATTAATTGTTAGAAACTTTTAACTTCAGCCTTTTCTATACACCATACAATTTTGAAAATAATTAGACTCTTTTTGACCTGTTTACGGGCATTGTCAGTTTTTGTTTCTATAAATATCAATAAAATTTTATTTGTTTGGTAAAAAAGCGTGAAAGTTTAATGCAATGCTCCTGATATATTGTTAGTTGTTACAATAGCAGTTGAAAATTATTAAAAATACATAGGCACAGTTTATTTTTATAAGCATTTAAAGTTCGAATTTCGACAAAATTTATCAAATATAAAATTTAATAATTATTTTGTAGTTAAAAATGTATAAAATGTTCAACTTTTATAGCTAAGAATTGGAAATTTAAAAATAAGGTTCCACGTAAATAGGTTATATACAAATTACTTTATTCACAATAATATCATCAAATATATACTCAGTAATATTATACGCTGTCTGTCCGGCTTAGCTCATAATCGTTTTTCTTATACAATGATATATCATTGAATTAAAATTTAACACCATCCATTACAGTGACCCTGCAACATCCACTTATCCACCTACCTTTTTATTTATGATGCTGTCCCATGATGTTCTCCTATTTTATTATTCTTCCAGTCTTCCTATTTTATCATGAAAGTTTTTCCATGTTTTGAATGTGAGTTCCACTAATAAAAGTAACTTGCTGTGGTTTTTAATAGGATGGAATTAATATGAATTATGAACATATTATAACTTGATTTTTTTGACTGTTTGGTGTGTTTACGTAAATGATTTTGAACAAATTTTGTTGATATCTTTTTACATTGATATTATTATTTTGTTATATTTATCAAATAGTCCACTAGGCTATTTAAAACATTATAAATATGTATAATTATTATTTTATTTTATACATTAAATTGTTCCCAGAAGAATAATTGTTTGTACTGAATTAAGTTAAATAATTTTGTATTATATTATTTTTAAATTTATAAAAATGATGTGTTTACAACAGTTGACATTGTATATGGAATCTTAAGCTGGAAAATACATCTACTTAATGCATAGTTTAATAAGTTATGAGAAAAGCCCTTATATGACATTAAATAAACTCAAGCTCAAAACAATCAAAAAACTAAAACCGAGGCAGCTTAATTGCGAAGAAGTAGTGGATTACGACAAACCTCACAATTTAAAAACGCATAACTTTAAAGAGCTTAATTGGTGTGAGTTGTATAGTAACTTTTTATGGGGTTTTACACAGCAAGGAGTAAAATGTGAAGGTATATAATATAAATATTTAGATAGATGTTGTTTCTTTAGTTAAAAAAATTAATTGAAAAATTGTTTCGAGGTGTTTTGGCATTGATTTAACAACTCATGTTAAGTCTATAAAACTAATAGACCGTTTGTTGTAGACAAATGTGTTGAAGAAATTGAAAGGCGTGGCATGAAGAAATGGATAGTTTGAGATTAGCCTTAGACAAAGGTAGACTTTTTATTACTTCTGAGTTCTATACTTTCAAAAGTAAATTAAAAAAATATATATTTAATTTTAATTTAAAAGAATTAGATTAAGAACAGTTGAAATAAAAAAAAATTATCTTATAACCATAATTATATACTTTATATAATTATAACCATACTTATAGTATAACCATAATAATTGTTTTCAGAAGGTTAAGGAACAATAATGGACGATCAAGCTTATGAAAATATACTTGTCGTAGCTAGTATTTTAAAAATGTACCTCACATTGCTTCCAATACCACTAATGATCAGGGCCGGATTGGTTAGGCGAGCTGCCGAGAAAATCTCAGTGGGCCGCTTACAATTTTGGCCGTCGTGTGACTGAATGAAAATAAATTAACGTTTAAAATACGATCGGCCACCTATAATTTGCTCATAATAATATTATAGACATAATTTTGGGCCTCTGAATATGTAAATGGGCCGCTCTGAAGTGAAATTCTCGATGGGCCGATACATACCAAAGCGGCCCTGCTTATGATGTTTATATTCTTGTCATAAAAGCTTTATACACCTCTAAATTCTAATGTACCAAAAGACTAAAGTGTGAAAAGTAGCGCACTATATTTAAAAAATAATGTTAGAATTAGTGCACTAAATAAATACGACAGGTAATATTTTTATTTAAAAAAAAGTACTAAATTCGTGTAAGATATACATTTAATAAACATAATACATTTTATAAAACAAATAAAAAAATATATTTTAGAAAATTTATGGGTAACAATAATACCTAGTTATAATTAATATTATTCATGTAAAAATGCACAATACACAATACATTTAAGAAAAAGGTTCACATTAATCCTAATGTTATAACATTTTTCGTTGTTATTGATTTGAATTATGGCAGAATAAATATTAACTAGATGTCTTTATTGTATTAATATACAGATAGAAATTAGTAACTGTTTTGCAGCCATTTGTTGAGCAAATGCAGTGTCTACACCCTCACCAATACCATGAACAGCAGGGTATACATTATTTATAGTAAGAATATGAAAAACATTAGATCCTTTTTCAGCACCTTCTGTGTCTAAAGTATTTGATGTTAAGCACAAATCACATTCAGTGACAACATTGCATAACACTTTGAAATAATCAGGTAATTCCAATGTACCATATTTGTTATACTCATCAATTACCTTCTGAAGCGTAACTGAGTTTGTCCATTCAGTTGTTTCTTTAAAAAGCAAATGATAATTATCAAAATCTACATCCATGGGCAAATATTTTTTTACTTGCTCTGATTTAATGATTTCAACTTGTTCCAAGACTTTCATTGAATCGGATACTATTGGATCCCCTTCCATTACCAGTGACTTGTCAATAGACATTAATTTATTCACCATTTGAACAGCAGCCAGATGCTTGGCCTGTTTTTTGGTTTTGTGTGTTGCTGTTTCGATCATTTTAGCTACATGACAACTGATAGTAAATAGTTTAGCATGGGCTTGTCCTTCTTCTCTAACTAAATTAAATTCGGGCAATCCCAGTTTATTGTTTGTACAAATGTCATTCAATTGTCCAACAGCGTTTACTTTTATATTGTTATCAAATGGAGAGACAACATGATTATCAAAATCCCACTGTTTAAAATCAGTATTCAACAACTCCGGTTTATCATTAATCATAATTTTAAGGAGATTTAACGCTGCCACATGCTTGGCTTCTTTTTTGGAAGATCCATCGCCAACAGCTACATAATCATCGAGAGTCAGACTATACTTAAAGCTAACCTTACTATGTGAAACACCATTATGTATGAGATCATACTGAGGAACAAGGCGATTTTTGGCTGCATACTCTTGTACAATGGAGGCTGGAGTTTTGTTTAATGAACTTATGTGTGCAGACTTATCTTGCAGATCAAATCCCATTGTTTCAGTCATTTTCTAAAAAAAATTATTAATATTATTAATAAATTACCAGTCATAAATAATAATTTATTAGGTACCTACTACCTACTAATGTAGTGACCGGGTATTCATACATAACATATTAACATACACACAAGCACTTATAATAAGATTATTGATTATCATGATAGTATTGAATATAGAAGGGGGTAAGTTAGCAGAGTATTCAAGTGCCTACCCTGACTATCCCATGTGCATACTAACGATTGTGCTATTTGTGCAATTTAATACACATACATTTAAACCTAGACCTTAAGCTTAGTACAGAACAATACACCCCTCCTAAACATTCAAATTATAAGAGTGATACAGAGTACTGGCGGCAGTAAAAACTATATGTAGGTATATTTTAATTGTGTAGATCGGCCACTCTGTGATTTATTAGCGTTCTGCGCCTCAGTTTACAAAGCACAAGGTTACAGGCAGTGCCAGTCTATTCATTTAAAACATTATTATATATAATTCTCACATTTCAAATGGTAATACTATTTGAGCACCTAAAACACTTAGTTGAGTTATTAAGATATATACAATGTATCTTATCCTATAAAAGTTCTATCTTCGGTATTTGTGAATAATAATAATTTAAAGGCCCCCATACACGATCAAATAGTTGCGCAACCGACTGTGTTTGTGCACACATTTTGAGAGTGTATGGCCTGGTTTGAGGTTTGCGCGAACGGTTTGATCGTATTTCGGTCGGGATCGAAATTTTTTGCGCAAACTGTTTGATCGTGTATGGGGGCCTTAACAAAACTACAACATTTTTTTAATATTTTATATGATTATTACCAAAGCTATGTAGTTTCCTATTGAGTTTTGACTACTTAAGTAGGCAACTATTATTTGAATAATATTACCGAGTCGGTTTAACAGGAACTAGAATAAATAATTGTTAGCTAAAACTAGAATAATTTATATCACCTGACAGTCTCTAGGTTGAATTACATTTTTTAATAATAGGTACAATAATATTATGTACTCGAGAATATTTACCCGATGTACACATAGACAATAAACAGATACGTACAATTCCGCGTCTTCGGTTATGTTTTGTTCGCACCGGCAAAATTGAAAATTGCAAAAGGCAAAGTGACTCAATGTTAGTATGATACTATAATAACGAAAATGGAATGTGGACTGTGGAGCTGTTTACAAGTGGTTATCATTTATCACGACGGGGATTCCATAAATAAATCCATGTGATTCCATCACGCCAAGGTGTATACACCTTGCATCACGCATTCAAGTAAAAACATTGACGTCATGTGCTCATAAAAAATAAAAACATTTATAATTTATATCACACAGAGTGTAACAAAAAAATGTGACAAATTAAATAACCAATAACTATAATTCTGTGAAATAAGCACGGACTAAGATATAATGGACTGGAAACGACATGGTCGGCGGGGATCGGGGGACGGCCACGAAAAGATGTCACTTAGCTGATAAGAATACTGTTCTTGAAGTTTTCAGCGCTACCGGTGGTTTTATTTGGCTACACAATTTGTATCTTAGTCCGTGTTAAATAAAGAGGGCGCTGTGAACTCCAAGAACAGATAGCGACCCCCCGCACTTTGCCTCTTGTACATACATTCGTGGCCATGATAAGCTGCTCGTTTCCAGTCCATTATATCTTAGTCCGTGGAAATAAGTAATAACTTTAACCACGATTTTATATCTTAAATCGTGACTTTAACCCTAGTCTCTAATCAGTCTAATCAATATTTAGAACAAAAAATTGTTTTATATAATTTACAGACGCTTGCGCTACACGTCATAAATTATAACTTTAAGATTCTGATATTAAAAAATTCCTAATATTTTTCTATAGCGCAGGTAAAAAGAAAAGAAAAATTAAGACAAAATCAGTTTTCGACCATATGGATTTTGGATTTTGGGGTGCTCTAAAACAAATGATACATGAAATGTTCACTGATTGTTTATATTATCGTTTTCTATACACAATCAAATTTTCAAAAAATATCGATTGTTTTTGAACTGTTGTCGGTCATTTACAGTTTTCAATTTTTTTTCTATGAATTGTCAATAGAATTTTATTTTGTTTTGTAAAAACTAAAAAAGCTTGACAATTCAAAATATGGGACTGTATTACATGTTCCACAATTATTCGTTCCAATAGACATTTGTTCCAAAAACTTTTGTTCCAAAAACTTATTGTAACAAATATCCATTGGAACAAATGTAATTTGATAAAGAGAACATTGGAACAAATGTTTTTGTAGCATAAATCCTTTGGAAAAAATATCATTGGAATAAATGCTTATTGGATTTTGACAAAATATATCGGAACAGAATATATGGCTTGCAAAAAAGTTCATTGGAACAAATGTACAAGTGACAATTTCGGAATAAACCATTTGTTCCAAAAATAATATATTCCAATAAATATTTTTTCCCTGCTTTGTAGTTTGTTGATTTGTATTTTGTTCCCATTTCCCGAGCAATGGCGAGCATTGGCATTTGGCGCACGCATAGATATTATATGAATAAAATAGTAGTAATATAACAGCATTGATTATACCACAGTCGAGTTTCGAGTAGGTACACGTTAACACGTGAATAATAATTTTAAATTACCACAAAATATCTAACTAAAATCGTTTTTCTATGTTTAAATGTTATGTAATTCGTCCAAATTTGAACTTAAGGGGCCTTGCGCGTGGGTAGAACACGATTCCGTACGGCCCTTATCAGCGTACGGAATCGTACACATTTTAAGACAAACGATTCCTGTCGATTCCGTACGTTTTGTACCCAAGAGTTTAGCGCAATGTTGCCAGATTTTCATAAGGTTACGTAGGTATTTGACTATTTGACTTAGTTATAGCGTTTTACGTACGTCTCACTTAAATATAAGTAAGGGTCCAAACATGAAACAGATGATTATATTTTCCCGGCTATATAGGTAGGTACTTAACTTACCTATTAGATAAGTTTTTGTTGTATCCAGGGCCGTAGGTATTTAGAAATGATGTGCCCCGGGGCACTAATTAAATTCCGCCCCTCCTTTTGGTGGAATATGTGGATGTCCAGTGTTAAAAAAAATGTATAAACACACAGTTTTTTTTATAGTTATTTTATGTTCATATTTGGACGAAATTACATATAAAATAACCAAGAAAAACGATTTTAGTTATTATTTGTTGTAATTTTATAATAATATTAATTGAACTCACCGGCTACCGTATTTGTAATAAGTAATAACAAATTTAAATATAATATCAAATATCCCACATGACAACCCGTCCCAGCTCAGAATCGTTTTTCGTATACAATGATATTATATCATTGAATTCAAATTTACCATCCATTAAACAGTGACCCACTTGTAACCTACTGTACAGCAGAGCGACATCCACTTACCCACCTTTTTAAACATGTATTTAATATGAGTTAAGAACGAATGTGCAAGAAGAAAATTCAAATCATTCTTTTATAAGTTATGTACTTCCAAAGCTTTCGATTTTCTATTTTACGCATTTGCATAACGTTGCGGTTTACCATGGCGCCATGCACCACGCTTACTAATTTAATTTTATATTATATTATAATATTTAATTATATTATTAATATTAATTTTTATTAACAATTTTAAACACATTACACATTTATTATTAATAATTATTATATTATAGAGAAAGTATAAGTAGGTATAATATATAATCATAATATATGCATGATATTATTTGTTTGAAACTGCAATAAAAAACTAAAATAGATACAATGATAACAATTTTTTCTTCTTGCCCGTTTCATAGCAAATGTTTTGAAATCTTCACCAAACCACACAATACATACATATGGAAAAAAATATTTTATATAATTTCAAAATTATAACCATATGTTAGCTTAATACATAAACAAAATTCGTGAAAATTTACCCCCCCCCAAGTTCCGCCAGGAGAGGCAATGGCCCACCCTGGCCCTCCCCTAAACACAGGCCTGGTTGTATCATAAGATAAATTCAAGCATGTCGATTTCATTTAGGGCAGTGTTGGTGGCGGAAAGTAATTTATTATGCTTAAAATATATTATAAATATACACATAATACAATAATACCAGTACGCGCGCGGGAAGTTAAACTTCTTTTGAATGGTACACGTGAGTGAGTGAAAAAGAAAGAAAAAAATATTAATTAATTTAAAAAATGAGAAGAAGTATCCGGAATTATTTATTATTGATAGTTTTATTATTTTTTTTATATTTTTATTCGACAGATCGATGGATAATTGTTTGTAGTATTGTTTTTATCCAGACAATATATTTGTGAGTGAATACTAATAATAATAAAAATAAATAATAATCGATCATTAATATTATTCAAATTAATTAGTATGGCCCGATTATAATATATAATACTAGCTGATCCCGTGCACTTCGTCGCCCTTTAAATGTATCAACTCAATATGAGTTATGACTCAAACTTTGTTCAATTCGTTATTCAATATTCGGTGTATGGTGTTCAAAATTTATCTTATCTTTTCCGTTGCCCGGAATAAAAATTCTGAATCGCAGCAGTAGGTACATTATCAGGTGCTGTTTGTACGGAAGTGTATGATTTAACTCTAAATTATCAAAGTTATACCAAGTTTATTTTGATATAATACGGTGGATTAATATAACAAATTTGGTTGCTCGTAAAAAATCACAACTCTTAAAAAAATTATGATTGTTGAACTCCTTTTGGGTGTAACTTGCTGGGGTAAGTGCAACTCAGCCACCCTGGTAGGCAATGTTTAATAATTTGATTTGATACAAGCTTGTACCTGATCTGCCCGAATAACCAATGGCAACCAATAAATAAATGCTAATTTCTAATGTAGACTGTAACCAATAGCAACTATTAATAAATAAAAATAAAATGTCCAATTTCCATCTTGAATCTCAATGTCCCTGTTTGAGCACCTATTTAAAATGCGAATTTCGAAAAATCCTTTCTTAGCGC